CCCCCCCAACCCAGCAGAATCAGCCGTGGTCAGAGTTTTGGAGACTTCTCCGAAATATTTACACGAAGTGACGCTTTTCAGCCGCCGAGGCCCTCTGCTTCAGGGCTTTACATACATTACAATAATCTCGCTCCTGTTTGAAAATGTATTACCACACAAGGTTTAGAAACTTTACGGACTTTAGACGAGGGAGGAGGGMTTTGTTCAGCTGTGTAGGATGCCGGTTTGGGAACCGATTGCTGTCGCTGCAATTAGCTTTTATTAATTTACTCGTAGCGGCTCTGACAAATTCAACAAGCATGTACACAAAAAAAAAACACATGAGATGCAAACAAGACAAGTCAGAATGGAGGATGAGAAATGCTGGGGGTGGGGGGGAGAAAAAAGCACTTGATCATCGCTGACTGCCTATTTCATCGTGACAAATTGTTTCCACTTATGGGTTTCTGAAGTCGTTTTTACGTCATGATTTGCCCCTACAGGAAGACTCGGAGCTGAAAACCCGAGAGGTTTGCTGGTGTCACTGAGGAAAGGGGCTATTTTTACTGCAGAGAAAAGTGAAATCATGATGTGAGACACTATTTAGTTCCCTTGTCAGGCTTTGAAACTCATTTACATTTAATCTGAAAAAGCTTCACGAGAGGCTGCAGCTTTAAAATTAGGGATTTTAGTTGGAAAAGAAATAGTTGGCAGTTTTCACATTAAAGGGGTGCTTTGAATCTTTTAAAATGTTGTTGATGTTGGCATTATCCTGTGTTTGAGTATTTCTGGTATTTGTTATAGTTTCGACATGGTGTTTTCATTTGGATCTCTTCTTGCTTTTAACCTGTTTTCATCAGCCATCGTTGCCTTCAGTCACACCTGTTCGTTTTACTAATCAGCTTCATCTGCTCTCACATGGTAATCACTCCACTTTTCATTCTTTTACTCCCGGTTTCCTCTGTTTTTTGCCCATTGTTGTTTTCCCCCTTTGGCTTATTATGCTTTAGTTTCTGCTTCATCAGCTCTTTATTTTGATTAAAGTTTCACTTTTTAAAACATGAAAGCCCAATGTCAATTGCTGTCATCTTAAAACAACCCCAGTGTCAAATATTTTATAGCAGTTCCTGTAATTGCCATCTTATAAACCTTTACATTAGCATCACTGTTGCATTGTTTGGGTATTCCACCAAAGATTTTCAATTTCGGCTGGAATTTTTGCAGTTTATGTTTGCAAATAACAAAGAAATTCTATGAAAAATGATCACAATGTGAAGCTAACTGAAGGGTGGACTACTTTCTCAGGGTTGGAAGTGAGGTAATTCYTGAAGTGAAGGCATTTAAGTGTCTTTGGATTTACTATCTCTGTTTCAGTTCACCACAAAGGTGCTTGATGGGGTTTAGGTCAAGGACTCTTCAACACTGAACTCATTATAGTCCTTGCTTTGTGCACTGAGGTGCAGGCATGTGGAAATAGAAAAGGAGCTTTCCCCAAAGAGTTTCCACAACGATGAAACATTAAGGTTGTCCAACACTGGAGATGAAGAACCGAGCCCACGAATGTCCCCGCTCCTCTCATTGTTGGCATTTTCTGATTTGCAGGAGCTTCCATTTTGTATTTTTGGAAGTAGAGTCTGGCCACAAACTATGTTAGAAAGTCCCGCCTACTTCCGCAGACTTATGGCATTTCTTGTAGCCATGAAATACCTAATTACAGCTAAATGTGCTCCTCGTCCCCCCCAGCCTTTTCTTACTACGCCATTATCTCTGCCCCCACATCCTCGCCCTGTGGCCGAGAGTCACCTGCCCCCTGTTAGATTTGTGTGAGAGTGCTACAGATTTATTCTGACAATCTATCGGGTTTACGTTTTAACTGAGCACCCAAATCAGACTCGACGGATAGTGAAAAAACAGGGACTGACACAAGTGGTGAAAAAGGTAAGTGAGTTTATTTACAGTGTTTGCCCAGGGTTTGCTGCAAGGGAAAAAATCGGGTTTTACTAATTGTTCTGTGGAGAAGTGGGATATTATTGAATTGTACTGTTGTCTTACAGATCTTGAGGTCGAGGCTGGCATGGAGGGGAAGGCTGAAGAAGAGTTCCAGGTAGGTGAGATTGTGAGGTCTTGGTTGCTCTTGTAGGTGGTAGTGCATGAGAGAGGCAGGGCGGAGATGTGAGGAGGATCCACAGAGAAATCCAGTTCCCAGATAAGCTCACAGCTTTCAACGAGGGAGGAACCAGAGAAAACTCCTCAGAGGATTTCACGGGGTTTGAACCTGAACATAGGTAAGCGCACAAAAAAATACAAAGGTAAATATTAGAATGTTACTGGAGGGTAACATGGGCTTGTCATACACAGTACCGGAGGTGACTGAATATTCCAGCATCGGATGGATCTCAGCCAGCAGCTTAAATGGTGTCAGAGTCYCATCAGCAGAACACTGTGCAGGTGAGTCCATCCCAGTCTCCGCCCACATGCCAATCTGCAATCAATTTAACAGAGAAGGAACAACCACAACCTCTACACAATCATGGATTTCTGATGGTCAAGATAGTCAAACAGTGCATCTGCAACAGATAGACTATTGACTGCACATATCCTTTAAATAATATATTAATTTAAAGGGACAATATCATGTAAAATCAACTTTTTTGAGTTTTATATCATGTTATAATGTCGTACTCTCATAAAAAAATGCCCAAATCCTTGCTCTGACTCATTCATGCATGTTTGAGAAATCCTGCAGCGTTTTTAGGAAGCCATGCTGAGGAGCAAAACAACAGGCGGGGACCAGAAATGGTTGTGTCCTTTTGGGACCAGCTCCTCCTCTGTGATCTCCAGGCCGAGCTTCCTCATCACGGAGCACACCTCCCCACCYCCACCCCACACACCCCGCCCATGACTCCTGCAGGCTCTCGGCAGTAACAAAGCAAACGAGTGAAACTGAAAGTGAAACTTAAACTGTCTGCGGAGCTCCTATCACTTCTCACTCAGTGAAGCTCTTGTCAGACTGAAAATACCTTTGAGGAGATGTATTTCAGATGCCAAGTAAACTGCATCATAGCGCGCAACCCCCCCCCCACCCCCCGCACTGAAATGGGCGAAACAGAAGTGGAAGGTGGTTCTTAAAGAGACAGAGGCCAATTTCAAAGCGTTTAGAAGAGGAAGTGATGAGAAGAGAAGTTTATTTTTCTATTTAAACATAAAAACTGCATTTTAATAACAACTAAAGGTGACATGGATACTTTATTATGGTATAGTATTTAAATATATGCCTGAGAAACACATAATGCCCCTTTAACAAAGARTCTGAACTTTGGAAAAGTGGCTAGAGTCRTCCTGGAACCGGAAGGTCACTGGTTCGATCCCCCGTTCCAGCTGTCTCAGTTGTTGTGTCCTTGGACAAGACGCTTCACCTGCTTGCCGTACTGATGGTGGTCAGAGGGTCTGGTGGCGCCAGTGCATGGCAGTCACGTCTTTGTCAGTGTGCCCCAGGGCAGCTGTGGCTGTAGCTTACCACCATCAGTGTGTGAATGTGTGTGTGAATGGGTGAATGCCTGAAGACTAAAGTGCCTTGGGGTCCAAGTGGATTTGATAAGGCGCTAWATAAGTTCAAGCCATTTACCATTTTATATAAGCATATACATACAGTAAGTGCATAGTCACAGATTATATAAACACTAAAAGGAAGTTGTTTTTTTGTGTTTGAGTTTCTAGGATTTTGTACAGGATGAGACTTAAATCAGAGATGCCTGTGTTTTCTTAAAAAAACCCACCCAAACACGGTGTTCCTTCCTGCGCAAAGTCTACTTATTCTCTTTGCTAAATCTGTCTTTACTGCAGTTTTTTTGCTGCATTTTCTTTCCCAACTATAAGTTTACCTGGAGTATGAAATATGAATTTTCAGAATCTAAACACACACCAATTCCAAAAAAAAAWAAATAAATAAAAAAAAAATCTTCGCCTGAAGGCTCATCTAGCTGGAGATCGTCTTTCAAGCATTTCTAAATGAAAGTGTGTTGGTGCAGATGCAGCCTTGGCTGATAAATGCTGCAACATGTTCTGTCTGGTTTGGTGCTTTGAGTTTCCTCTCTGCTGCTCGCTCTGAAGTAGACAATAAACTGCAGATTTACTGGAACTGTTTTTGCCAGCAGACAGCTTCCTGCTTTTTAGATTTCTGGTGAAAAATAAAGCAGCACAGTACATTTATTGGCTATCCGATCACAAAAACAAGCTGTATGAATAATTTCTCACTTTCCTGAAAATGGCCATTTGACCCGCCATCATCGTGAAACCGTTGACAGCAGCTTTAAATGTGGAATATGAATGTATGCTGATTTACTTTTTCAAACATTTTCACGGATTTGGTGTAAAAATCATACTTATCACTTTAATATGGTTCTTTTTAACACATCTGAGCAGGATGCAGATATTATGAGGTGTTGTTTTTTTAATGTCTCTTAAAACAGGATGTTTTTCTTGTATTCTGCCTCCAAAAATCAGGCTTTTTCTATTTCCCCCAATTTTTTTTAGTTTAGTACAAAACAAATAAGAGTGAATATATTGAACTGATTATGCAGTTATCCTCGCTGAAGCTACTGCAGAAAAACAGAATTAAACATCTGTAGCTTGGGAAGCTTCTGAGTTTTTTGCCTTTTGTTTCCAACAGAAAATGTGACTTCTTTTCTCATTCTGTCAGAGTTGTCTGATTTGTGAATGCACGGCTGCTCGCAGTCCTGCTGACAGTCGCTCGCACACAAAAACACCCAGCATGCACAAATAATACTCTACTGTTGATTCGATTTGATTAAATTAATTGATTGTATTTATTTTCTCTGCTGAAAAACAGCTTTGCTGCTTGCTGTGTTTGGCCTTAACTCACAATTAGTCACATTTCAAAAAACAACTTTTTGGGGGGCCTACACAGGAGAAAATAAATAAATAAAATGACAATAACCAACAAAATAAAAAAAACTGACAAGAAGCAAAAAACAATGATTCTCAGAATCAATGCATCACATTCAAAACAGAATAAATGATTAAATCATTTTAGACACCCATTAAAAATAGCTTTTCAAGAACTATTGCCTATTAGTTTTAAACAAAAACATTGCGCCATTGGATTGACAAATTTTAGCACARTATTTGCAAAATTAACTATGTTTTTGTGTTTGTTAAATTTGAGTAGTGTTGCGGACATCTTGAATCAGACTGACCTAAAAATTTATTCAGTTCTGCGTACTAAACAAGTTTTTAAGGGTAGAATTTTGGTTTTATATTTTAGTAGAGGGCAGCTTTTATTTTTAAACAGGTAGTTCCAGCAGAGCAAATGTGAACTTTTGTGTGGTTGTTACATGTTTTCCTTCTATACTAACACAAAACACCCATGAAAGTCACAATACYTTATAAACGTTTCAAATATCACTTATGTTTAAAAGAAATAACACCGGGCCAAGCATGGAACCTTGTGGAACTTCACAAGAACAGTGAAGCTGCACTAGTTGTGTAGATTGTGGCTTAACTTCAACCCCACTGACTACCCTGCTCAGAAATCACACAAGTCTCATCTTGAAGCATTTTGTGAAAGAGCGTAAAACATTTTGTTGCACATCATGCAATAAGTTCCATTGAATTGAAACTGAACCTCCCATCCAGTTTTGCAGAGGCTGCACCTGAATCTAAACAATCTTATTCTTCAGTTCTTCGTTCTGTGATAAGTTTCCAAACTCTACTGTAAAAAAAATATCCTAAAACACCTCCGCCATCAAAATTTTTCGGTTTAGTTTGCTGACGACACAGTGAATCCCAGGATACTTAGATGCAGCCCACGTTTTTGGCATTTTGTTGGCCGCATAAGTAGGTGCCCACGAATTGGGACAGCCTGTGGCGTGCAGCAGTGAGGTAGACACCCAACAAATGAGACACAGCCCTGGTCTCTTAACATCTCTTCCTTTTCACTCTTGCAGTCGGATTTTCTCTCTGGATGTTTCTTTATGTGAGAAATGTAATCCTTTACACAACAACTTTTCACATTTTTTTTCCTATTTCCGTCCAAATCAATGTCAGACTCCCCCTACAACTCGTGACAAAGTACCTGGATTTCCGTTTTTGAGAACTTATCTCCTTACCAAAAAWWTATTTGCAGTCCTGGTAGGGAAACTTCTTGACTTTGGCTCTAAAATAAACACCACTTAAATAAAGTTTGCTCACTAACGTAATGCCGTGTTTGCCGGGTATGATATAAGCCCTTTGCAGGTGTCACCTCACACTGCTGTCCATGAAGGTGGTCATTGTTTAAGTCAATCTGTCGCTGTCCTCAACCGTCCAACACACTGGTCTGATTAAGAGTGTTCAAACACARCCGTCAAACCTGCAGAGGAGGGACGACTAAAGCCCCCCTCACTCTGGAATGTGGAGGGGTTGGAGTGTCAGCGCCCTGAAGGTCTATTACCGGTCAGAAACATGAGCAGCACCCGKTTTGTTGGGCTGACTTATCCATTCTTTGCCCCTCCGGCTCTGAATAGTCGGAGTTTATGACCTACAAGAACCCAGCACACTTAGCTCCACCCTCATTTGCATCACTTCTCTAAAAAAATAGTTGTTTCCATAACAATCAACGCCGCCTTCTTCTCATGCCGTGTCCATGACAATGTAGCTAAGGGGGACGGAGCAGATTAAGACACTTCCATTGTTTTTTTTAACTGCTCTGAAACCAGCCTGAGGCCGAGACAACAAAGTCCCCTCATACCTAAAAATCTGACTTTTTTGTTCTTTTGTTTTACCTTTAAAGCTGATGTGAGTTCAGTAACGAAGAGTTCTCCATTTTTAACAGATTTTCTTTAATTTCTTTTCTTTTCTTTTTTTCTTTCTTTTTGTTATCAGTTAACACATCATGATGTTATCAGTCACTTGGACAATTCACCTACACTGCCATCACTAATATGTGCCTTCAAATACATTCATTTTTGTACTGTACTATATACAGTGTATGTATGTATATAAATGTATTTGCACATGTGTTTATGTATATGTGTATATGTGCATTGGTATATGTACATTACTATACTGTATATCGTGTATATTTTGGGTTTTTTTTTGGTTTGTTTTCTCTTATTTATCTTTTTTTATTCTTCTCACTCTCTTCTGTATTGAGCTGCAGTAATGTGCAAATTTCTCCACTGTGGGATCAATAAAGTTTTATCTCATCTCATCTCATCTCATCTCATCTCATCTCATCTCATCTCATCTCATCTCATCTCATCTCATCTCATCTCATC